CATGGTGACTTCCACTGTCCGGCAATGGCTTTGCGAACGTTTGCGCTACGTTTCCCGACGTTTCCGCTTTGACAACCCATCCCTTGTGGGATCCAATCTTCAAGCACTACGCGGTGGCATTCTTCATCCTGAAGCGTCTGAACCCCAAGCTCTACTTCCTGAAAGCCACCGCCTCTCAGAAGAATGTCCACCACTCCACCAATCTCATGGTGATCTATTTGCGCCAGATGGTCGAGAAACTCCTGCAAAAGCTATGGGCCCTGAGCCCTTCGGAGCAACGAGCGCCCAAGCAGAGCGTGATCAATGGCAAACCAAGTTGGACAAGCTCCACATCCAACCAATTGGAACCTCATCCATCTCTCGCATACTGCTTGGCTAGCTGGATTGAAGACTGAGATGGCGAAGAACTGCAAGTGTGCAGCTTGCCAGGCTCTTTGGCCTGGTGGTGTCTCTTCCGACAATGTACCGCCTGCTGCAACCTTACAAGGCTTGGGAGGTCGTTGGAGTTGATGTGAGTGAATAGATTGTGGCCAATACCGCTCATGCTCTGCAAGACGCCGGCGAAAAAGGGTGAACTTAGTTCGTGTTCGCGACAAAGACTCTGGTGGTGCGGATTCAGTTCCTGCCTTCTGTGAGCCTGACGAACTCGAGAGGGCAAAAAGAACAATCGCAGAACTACAACAAAGGATCGAAGAGTTGCAGCGGGAGAAAAACACACAGCCACCTGAGATGAGAAGCAGGGTTGTGCAGCGCATTTATTGCTGTCCGAATGGACATTGTTTCCATACAAACAAGTACTGTCGAGGAAAAGCTGTTGCTGCCAATATGAAAGAGTATGTGCCATGCAAGATTTGCGGTCATAGACTCATAGACTAGACTTTGTCCAGCGCATATGCTGACTGGAAAGCTGCTTGAAACAAATCCCGGAGTGAAGGAAAAACGGTGGTCAAAAAAGGAGCCAAGCACTACATGACTTCCAACACGGTTTCCTACATGAACATCTGCCCTGGGGACTGGGGGCAAAACCCCCCACATAAGCTCTGATGATGTGAGGTGAAGGTCTAGCGACCAAGTCACTTATGGACAAGCCAAAAAAGCGACACTACACAGCGACATTGGCGTCCAGCTCACTACACAAGCTCACATAAGCTCACATTTAAATACCATCAATTTACCGCCTCAAATGGCTACCCTTCATTCCAACGGTGCTATGGCAAAGACTATCACCTCTCCAATGAAGATGTGCGGACCGTTGCCTCCATGCCTGCTGGTGTGTCCGTCTGGCGCAACAACGCCAGAAGGCTGAAGAAACCATAAGAAACACAAGGACCCCACTTTTCGACCGCCCATTTGCACCTAGTGAGCCAAGAAGTCTGTTTGACCCCGCTGTGTCGGTCCTGGTCATCTCCATGTTCCTGAAGATCTGACGGTGTATAGAGCGGGTTCTGATGCGTAACCAGCTCTTGCGCTGCTCAGCACACCCCTGAGGCCAACAATTTCGACACAACAAACTGAATTTGAGCTCGACCAGACAGAGGATGTTTCAAAGTGGGCCTGTGCGGCCTGTTGCTTCACCAGGAGTATCTCCGACATGGGCGACGATGAGCCACATGAACATGAAGAGCAGCCGGACAACCTGACTGCTGAACCTTGCAAGTCACCATCTACATGCCCAAGACAAGAGCAATTGGGAAGTCTACCTTAAATGGCTGACATCGCATGCTTCGACGGATTTCGACGGCAATATGACCCAAACAACTTGGAAGACTATGAGCCCCAATGCGAACTTCCACCTGTTCCCATGGACGATGAAAGGATCTCCTGACCTATAGATTGCTGGTTGATGACATCGCAAAGGATACTCCAATCAATGAATGTGAGTCTGAATCCGAAAAAGGCTGATCTTGAAGCCACGATTGAGGAACTCGATCTTGACTCGTGCTTGATGAACATGGAGTGAAGGTCAACTCTCACAGACAACAAAAAACAGTTCCTTTTGTTTGAGAGACTAGGAACATCTTGAACCTGACAAGAGAGCATAAGCAAAATGGAAGCTCGCGCCTCCAGGCGATATTGAAGAAGCGAGGGGGATGCAATTTAAAAATCAAAGTGCACCTACGTGAAGCTGGAAAGAAGAAAGCTAAGGCACGCATCCTCCTTTTTTGATTTTTTGCTTCTATACCTGCACCTATGCAGAGCTTCCGCTGCCTGCTGGAAAAACATAAAAGATTACCGGTGGTGATGAAAACGGCCGTTTCAAAAAAATGATACCAGAGGTGTTTGGTTTGTTCTCCCACTCCCTGCGTAATCCTTTTTTGATCTTTTTTGTGTCTTGCACGCGCGTCCCAAAGGTCGTCCAGCGCAGGATCCTCAAAATGTTGGTCTTTTAGCAAAAAACTCGCTAATGGCAAACATGTTTGCAAAATGCGCTAAAACAATAAAGGAAGCAGCCTTTGGACGTTCTGCTCCACTCAGCCAGTGACGAACTCCGCGCGAGAACAACTTGTTCATCCCCGAAGAGTCTACTTGCACCACTGCGACGTGTGGCTCCAAAGCGCTAAGGCTACGCCCGATGTGGACCTGTCAGGGTTGCAACGCAACAAGATGCAACAAGTCTCAATCTGCCAGGGCCATCCACAAAGTTGGAAACACACACACCCCACCCCACAAAGAAAAGTATCGTATTCACGTCGCTTCGCACCGCCCGCACCGCATGGAAGGGGCCAATATTTCCACCGAACATAGCCCCGGAAGTGCCCCCCCCCCTCCCCAACGTGGCCGAGCATAGATTCCATGTTTCGAGATAGGGATTTAACATGGCCCAACGTGTCAGGTAATATGAAAGCTATGTTTGGCCACGTTAGGGGGTGTTTTTTATTCCAGTTTACGACGTTCAAGTCCCTATCTCGCAGACACTACCTTTAGATAGTGACTTCTAGGGCTATGTTAGGCAATATCTTCACTCTATTCCAGTCCCTTTGAGCCTTCGTTGGGCCATGTTTACGACGTTCAAGTACCTATCTCGGGGAAGCATACTTGAGACCATATGGGAGCTATGCTCGTGAGATAATGTTACCGTTCCTGGACCTGATCTGCTTATCTCTGCTCCTGACCAGCCACGTGCCCGGACGTTCAAGTCCCTATCTCGCAGACACGTCCGTTAGATAGTGACTTGTAGGGCTATGTTACGCAATATGGAAGCTATGTTGAGCCCTGTTAGGGGAACCTGTTCAGCCAAATGTCCAGATGATGCAGATGATGCAAAGCAGAAAATTGCATTTCTTGCATCACTAGGGGCTTCAAGATAGCAACAATTAGCACGAGTTTATCTTCCAGCACTTTAAGCCGGTTCCAAAAAACGTGAAAAACATAGGATTCTAGAGCGAAAATGCCCCCCCCCCTAGCAAAAGCTATAGTACTTGCGGTACTTGCGGTATAACGCGTGCCTTATAAAAACGCCTCGGCACCTTCGGGCGGATTTTGGGTTTCCTTTCTGACCCTGTCGATGGGTTTGTAGCAACCACCATTGTGCCATTATTTCCAGCACCTGGACTTGCGCAGGGCACGAGACGCCAGTATTACTCTCATCCTTCCACACTGTCAGCCAGCCCTTCTCCCTGGCAAGCTGCCGGGTCGACGCGTCAGCCTCGAGCATCTTCGCCTTGACCCCAAGCTCCGGCAACTGAAGGTAACTTTGAACCTTCAAAACGCAATCGAAAGATTGTGTTTGACGATCGTAGGTGCAAAGTCTTTTCATCCTTGAAGCAAAATGTAACAACGATGAAAGTAAACATGCCGCAGGAACCTGTCAAGCGTCCTCGCTGGCAGTGATCATGGCATGTCCAAGCCAACAGTGACACAATAGATGCTTTCAAGTTTTTGATAATGTTGTTGTAAGACAATAAGGGTTGATAAGCCATGTGGAGTGAGGTTGAAATATGTTAAATAATGGGGCAAATCACTGTAGACTGTAAAATGAGGTGCTTCCTCCAAACTCTGAAGCTGTAACCACTTGATGTCAGTGATCAATTTCATCGAACACAATGTGCTCGCAAACAATGTGTCCGCTTCGTGCCCCAAAAAACATTAAAAAAAACATAATTTATTGAAACAACAAAGTGCCCGCAAACAATTTATCCGCTTCGTGTCCCCAAAAACAACAAAAACATAAACGAATTTTAACAACCTATATATATATATAGATTATGCACACCTAGGACTCACAGGTATGTATATAAATTTCCTGTTCCGAACAACAACCAAAATCACCTGAGCCTTTGCCAGGTCTTTCACTTGGTTGCTTCAAGCTTTGAGATCCTAATTGGCCCTGAGGCTCTGAGCATGCACGGCGCTCGAAATGATAATGGGCGCCCGTACTTAAAAAAAGGCAGGTCACTTGAGAGCGTGTTCTGGGAAAAACTCAGCTACGATACAGTAACCCTTTAAGGGTCAGTCAGTTGGGCAAAGGTTTGGGCTCAGTTTGGGCAACTTTCAATATTTGATTTTGAATATCAAAGACGTGCAACGTGCAAGTTGACCTATCTAAGAGGATAAAGCCCGCGTAAACATACTTGTCATTGGCTGTTGGGTGTGTGCCAAGTAATACAATAAAATATTGCTTCACATGTTGGGAGATGGGTTGTTTTTACTGTAGCCATGCACTGCTGCACGCAGCCTTCCCAGAACATCACATGATTGCGCTATCAAAGACATGGTAGTCCGACTACGCTCTGCAAATCAGGTAGACACAGTGGGGACATGCAAACAGGCACAAATCTCTAAGCCCACAAAAGCACGCGCAAACCTGTAACCCCGCGTAAACACGTATGAGCCCGTAAACCCGCGTAAACCTGTGTAAACCCGTAAACCCGCGCAAACCAGCATAAACCCGTAAGCCCGCGTAAACCCGAGTAAATCCGTCAACCCGCACAATCAAATTCAGACACATTTTCCGTCGCACTGTTCGAATGTATATAGACGTGAATGTGTCCCTTTCCAAGGTGGAACTTCAGCTACATTGATCCCTCTCCTGTCCGGAAGGTCTTGCAGAAAATTGATGCAAGTGAGGAGCGCCGGTGTTTACGCAGCAGCATTCGTCAAAACATTCAGTTTCATTGAGCACCAACGAAAAACAATCCTTCATGTCCTGCTTGTTTGTCCAAATTGAAGTGGGCCATTAGGAACTAACTGATGATGGTGTGTCAGTGACCTTCATTGCTTCCACATTGCAACATAAGAGGGTTTGTGTGTTTGTTCGTTTGTTTCTTCGTTTTGGTTTGCTTTCATGGTTCTTCTCATGCTGAAAAACCTTGCAGCAACTCACGTGTTCATGTCAAGTGTTGACCTTTCACGAAGATGCGGACTCTTTGGTCCGCCGTGCCGAGCCGAAAGCACAGTAATTATGCAGGAACTGTTCTAGTGTTTTTTCCTGTCCATCAAGAACAGCTCTGCTTAGGTGCAGTACGACCTTGCCTCTCAGATCAATTGTGCCTTGGTTTGCGCAAACATAGTGGGCGGGGTGGTGTGCCGGATGTCACTTGATATAGCAACATAGTGCCTCACCTCCACCATACCCTGAATGCCTCGGATGCAAGCAATTTCGGAAAGCGGTTGTATAATATGTTATTTGCGGGGAGGGGTGTAAAACTTAAGGCTTTCTTCAACAGTCGCGTGACTTGGTGAAGCAGTGGACTGTCGTGCTTCAGCATAGGGGCAGGGGACACAAGCAGAAACTTGGAAGGTGCATTGTCAGTCTCGTTCGGCAGCTTGTTGCATGTATGTTTGCTCATGTCATGTGTGCCCAGCCACTTGATTGCTGAAGTTGCTGTATTTTTAAAAAAAGTGGAAGATTCATTCCAAACTCCGGCCGTTGCCACAGGAGTTGGGGGCATCATGTAACTATAAATCTGATAAAACTGCATTCGTCCTTTGAAGAAGCGTCATGATTGCAGGTCATTGCTAGTAACAAGGGCATGACTAGTAGTAACAAGAAACTGCTAGTAACAAGGGCATTTTTGGATTTGCAGATGAAGACTGAGGCACTGTAATGCCCGTGAGCCCCGATGAACCCCCTTTGCTGGCAACTGGCCGCATTGACACTGGTCAATTTCGATCAGTGATTTATGCCAGCGATGAGACCAGGACAAATTCAAATTAGAAATTGAATTTGACGGCGCAGTTCGAGAAAGCAGGGCTGCTGCAATTTCAGGACTCTTGGTGAGTATACCGTGTACGATGAGGCCAATTTGGAGTTCACAGTCACAGGATTGGTTCCCAGCAAGAGGTGCGATCTGAAAGACTCCTGCTGATTTCAGTTTTCATGCTGGCTTGTCGTCGGGGTTTGGGTGGTGGATGGACCTTAGTTGTGCAGGATTGACGTGTGTTCAACAGGGGTCCTCGACAGACAATATGAGAGATCAAGTTGCCAACTGCCTCGTGTGCATCTCCCTTTCAGCCCATCGCATCCTGTTGCGTGCTAAATGCCGATCGATCATCGTAGTAAGTAGATATGCCCCTTGGTTGCTGTCAGGCATTAGCGATGGCCTCCAACCTAGTAGCGATGGCCTCCATCCTAGAAACAGGAACAGCCGCACTGCCTTTTCACTGGGGATGTATCATGTGCAGACCTAGCACGAGCAACTGCGCTATGCAACCGCCAACTGCCCAAGGGCATCAAACACATGTTGTGAAGCCAGCCGCTCGGTGGAAAGATGAGATCCCTCACCTTCACCGACTGTGTGAAGTCGTGCACTTGGCAGTGGCCTGTGCTTTGGCACTTTATTTGCCGCTATGTAACAAATCTCCAACGCGTAGGGCGGCAGCATGCAAGCACAACAAAGGTCCTCGCCTCGCGGGCTGTTTGTGCTGTGGCAGTAATGGCCACAAGAAACAAAAGGTGTTTAGCATGCAGCCGCCGCAGTGGCAATGCTCAAAGCAGCCAGTCACGGGTGAACCTTCGAGGTGCAGGCATGTGGCCACATTGGCGTTCTTTCCTGCACGCTGCTTTTTGGCTTGCCTTTTGGTGAACTATGAATTTTGGCGGAATGATTGAACCTTACCGTACTGGTACCAGATTTAGCGCTGCTTTGGTGTTTCATTGGGCTTTGGGTGTTGCAATGATTTCCCCAATATACCGACGGACCGGAAGTTGGAATGCCATCTTGCACCGCCGGGCATGGACTGCCTCTACTGCACAAAAGGATTTTATATTTCCAAGAAGGTGTTGCTTCAAAAAACATGGTAGCATTTTGTTTTATGTCTATACTATATATATATATGCGCATGTATATATATATGTATATATATGTGGATCAGCATTCTAACTGGCCAGACCCTAGAATTCTAACTGTTCATTTCTGTTGGCTAATAACATTTTGGGGACGGCATCCTGTCCTCTTTTCCTTTTCTGTTTCCTTTCTCCTTCCTTGTGCTTTCTGCTACCATGTCCCGGTCTTAGCCATTGTCTCCTTTTCCTTGTTCCTTTTCCTTGTCCTCTCTTTTTGCTTTTTTTATGTTTCCTGTATCATGTTGTTTTTTGGTCTTTACCTATATGTTTCTTGTGCCTTTATATTTTTCCTGTTTCCTTTTTTGTGTTCCTTTTTCCTTTCTGCTTCCATGTCTTGTTCTTTACCATGTGTTTCCTGTTCCTTTTTCCTCTTCCTTGTCCTTTCCTTTTGTTGGTCTTTTCTGTAAAAGCTGTGGCATTCAAAGTGTGCCCGCGTGCAACAAACAATTCGACAGAGAATGACAACACCAAACGCAAGCGTACCCACAACGAATACAAACAACCCTATCCTATCGTGACCTTTGCTGCTGCCGGGCATCAGCCAGTACCGCCAGTACCTGGCCAGTCCAATGACAAAGAAAACAACAGACAACGCACAATGACACGTGCCCACATACAACCACAACGTCAAACAATCTAAATATAGTAATATAATTGTTTATTTATTACATAAACACCAAGTGTCCCGCCAGTGGCCCGACGTGACACACAACAAACAATGACACACATGACAACACCAAGCATAACCACCACAACGTATCGTGGCTGAGGGATGCCCCACTAGTCACCCGGAGCCAATTATCTTATCAACAGCCAGGTGTTTTTAAACCTGGGATTGCTCCAAAAGCCAAAAGTTTGCCTAGAACAGCTTTAAAGTGAGAGCTGGATAAAGTAGGGACAACGGCCTACACAAAAATTGCTTTGGGGGCGTTGTAAAATTGAGAAAGGATGGTGGTAATCAAAGATCAGATGCACAGGACGATATTCATTTAGAGGTTTGCGACATGTTTTTGGCCTATATATATAATATCACTGTACATGTTCCTAGACATTTTAATGGGACAATTATGATCAATTATTAGTATTTTGGCAGGACCAACTGACCAGCTTTGCCAGCGATCGCAGTGGCATGGTTTTTGGAGTGGTCAATGATCGGTGATGTGAAAGAAGCAGGGGAGACACGCACGTAACTGCGTGCATGTATAGACAATATACAAGTATGTCTCCGCTTGCCGCAAAGACATGTGTGCACACTAACTAACCGGTGTATAACATATTGTGTTGTGTTTTTTTTTTGTAATCATGGGTTTGAACGAACTACCCCCTGCAGCTACAACTTGAATTGCGCTGGATGGAAGCTAAGCAAATCTTGGGTGCCTGTTGTTTGCGCCAACTACCCTTCAGACTGCCAGAATTTCAGCCGCTTGTTTGCAATAAGTGCAATGATCATCGGTAGTTTTTTTCTTCACAATTTGACATGTTCTTGGCTTCTTTTTATGTATAGCGAAGCAGCTGCTTGTGAGTAAATAAATCTTAATTCGTAATTCGGCGGATGCGATTGCCTTGAAGAAACGAAACTGGCATGTCAGGCTTCACAACGATGGATGACACCCGCACCATAGCCAAATCTTAGTGAACCATAGCCAAATCTTTGTTCATTCGTGTGGCGTGCATTGATGCAAGGCGCTGACCTTACCTCGGTGAACATTTTCAAAGCTATCACCTGCCCTGATGGAACACAGGCCGGAACACCAGACCGATTCTTTCACTGCCAGGTGTGAGATAGCTGTTGTGCTGTTTCTCGTTCATTTTCTATTGCCGCTTTGGCAACGCAATGGCGTGCCATTTGCTTGCACACCTCAGGTCACATTATCCTCGTATCTTGCATGAATTCAAGAACTCCAACTCAGTGAAACTGTACTGCACCGTGCACGTAACTCAATTCTGTTGAGTTTCCAATTGTGTCACCAATTATGTCACGCCGGTGAGGGAGACGCAAACATATGAGCAAATCAAGAGTGGCATCGTCATCCTCCTCTCCACATATGAGCGGTCCTGTGCCTTGCCTGATTGCATTGCAAGTATTCTTTGCTTACTGATGCATTGCAGCACAAAAATCAGGCGGTACAGAGTTGGAGGCTGGGGCATTGGCAAACGCCACAGTGAACTTCAGTGTTTGGGAACCCAGTTGATACATTGTGTCCGACCGCTTTCATTTGAGAGCTAATGGCCTTCATTTGCACGACTTAGGTGAGCCCTCTTTCAAGTTATGCCTCCATGCCACTAGGATGCCTTAGCCGTCCCTTTCGGAAAAGTAAACTGACTGGTACCATACCCTTATATGTGGACACCAAGGAACTTCACCAATGAATCGCAGCAGGACAACCATTTCTTCTCTTATGAAGTGCAGGATGACACCGCTATACTGTACAAGTACATGAATATCACTGTATGCCCTCATGCTCACTACTACTCCGACGATGGTGCCGACTGTCAAAACTATGCCCAAGCCTCATTCCCGCTTTGGAGCTTTGCAGCTTTGCAGCACAGCTTTTGAATTTTTAGCGCCCTTGCAAGGTCGTGAGTGTGGCCTTCACGGACACCAAATTGGAAATTTTGAAGATCACAGTCAAGGATTCAATCACTGGAGACGAAAAGGCTGATGGGGCAGGTGCTGGATCTGATGTTGAGGCATCAAATGGAGCCTGAGCAGCAGCGGTTCAATGTTCAAATTTGAAATATTTTCCAAGTTGCTCTAGACTAGAGCAATCAAGCGGGCATTTGGATCCAAAAAACAATGTAAAGGATCAACAGAAACAAAAGAACACGATCAAACAGAACAAAGTAAAAGATCAAAAAAAGTCTTCGAGTCTAGTGGTCGGCTAGGCCCTTGGTCTCCCATGATCCTTTGGTGCCCTAGTCCATTGGTCCCCTGGTCCTTTGGTGCCCTAGTGTTTTGGTCCCTGGTCCCTTTCCTGGTCCGCCGGCCTCGCGGTCAATTGGTCAATGTTGGTCAAAAACACGAGGTTTGCGAAAAAACACAGCGCTACCCGGTTGCCTTGGTCCTTGCGTCACTTTTTGAGTGCCCTTCATTGATGAGGCAATGGGGTGTGTAGTTTTCGATGGTGATCTATTTTTATGGTGCCTTTCAGTCTGATGGCTTTTGATATTTGGTTCGCTCTGTGGGGGAGGCGCTGCGCCCTGCCCCCCAACCCCCCTCCAGCGCCACGAAATCTGCACTACTTTTGTCAACGAGCTGGGCCTACCACGACAGATTTTCTAAAGGTCAACCCCGGACCCATCGCTCTCACAAAATATCGAGCGCACCTAAGCCTAATTTTTTTTTATTTTGTGTTGCGCGCAGTTGCAAGCATCCTTTCACTGTCCTGTGGTGGATGGGCCCCTCATTGATTGGGCAATATGGCGTGCAGTTTTCGATGATGATGTATTTTCTGGTGCCTTCAGCTTTTGGTGGCTGTTGTGGTTTGCAGCCCGCTTCGGCGCCATGAAATCTGCACTACTTTGACCAATGCACTGGGCTGCCACGACAGGCTTTTAAAGGTCACCCCATCCCATATCCACACAGCAAGTATTGCACACCCTCGCCTAAATTTTGATATTTTGTTGCATTCATATGCAATCATTATCATCATCCTTTCATGGTCCTGTGGCCGCCCTCCCTGCTGCTGTTGTCCTTTTCCTTTCATTGTTTACCGGGAATATTTGTGTGATCCCTTTCTTCTTTTGGACCCCCATCCCAATTTTTGGTATTGTTGCTGTACTTATTTTTTTGTGATCCCTCACCCAATCAAGCACCGGGGCCCCGGCCCCTCAGGTGACATTGTCGTTTTTGATATGGCAAAAGATCCAGTGACGGTGCTAACTGATATCACTGTTTCGCTTGGCGGAGCAAATTATTTCCCTCAGACCGTAGAGGCAGATGGCGGGCCACTTGTCTTGATTGTAGGTTTAGCCAGTTGCAGTGGTTGTTATTGTTGGCACAGGCCGGCAACGCTCTTAGGATCGGAGACATAGTTGGCACAATTACGTGCACCATCGAAGGGCAAGGTCTTTCTCTACCTGTCACGTGGCAGAAACAATGGCATTTCTAGACTCAACTTCCAAGTCACAGGAACACCACACCTCGTGAAAACTAGGTCAAGATGACGATGAGACTCTTGGATGCCTAGCCTGGTCCACCATGCAGTCCAGCATTGCACACGATTTCGACGTGCCTTTCCCCAGAGGCTAAGCATGCCGTTTTCAGCACCATTCCAAGGTGGAACTGAGTTCGATATGGACACTCAGCTGTCACTAGACAAGAGGGCAGCTGCTTGGGTTGCAGGGTCCTCAGGACTATAAGCATGTTCAACGCCAGAGTGAAACTAAGGAGTACAAGATTTCCTTCAAGACCCCAACGGTCACTATTGCAACCAAGTCCTTCAGCCTGACAGAAGCTGACTCCACCAGAAGTCTGAGTGTGGCCACTTGACCTTGAATTGGAGCATTATTACTTTTTGGCAGACCCTAACACCAAAACAAAAGCCACAACAAAAGCTTTTGGAAACAGAAGAGCTTCGACACTCTTCGCTACAAATCCTTCGACCGCTTCAAGCCTTTTGAGCGACAGTCCTCCCGATGGTCAGGCATTGGACAACATCCCCACATCTGCGCAGGCACATTGGCTTCCAGCATGCTATGTTTGATTGATGGTTCTTGGTGCTGGAAGGCGAAAGGTGCCAGCACTGGGCATGATTTTAGGGTTTCAACATGCGACGGGTCCAATCAATGCGTTCGCCCTCAGTAGCCCTTTCGAAGCTGTTTGGAAGGCCCCCCGAAAGACAAGATGCTTGACCCAACCCAACTTGTGCAAAGGTGCCCGCCCTTTGGCAGCGTCACCCAAAAAGGCAATATGTAGACCATCTTGGACTACTCGTGCACCATTGAGCAGGTGTTTGGCTTTACTTTGATGAAGCGAGGCGAAAATAAGAGGTCACCATTTGGATCCATTTGGCGTGATACAGTGATACTCAATTGTCATGTCGCTCTGCAGGTAGCGCCGGAGGACTTCATCCGTTTGAGTGTGAGGAAGGTTGGAACTGAGCAGGCTACACCAGGGTTCTGCGAGCAGCAACTTGGCTTGCCCGCAGATTGGCAGTGACATCAGTCTTCAAACAAATCCCAATCGCAATGAAACGAGCAAACCTTTCAAATGGTGCCACAGGCAAACATTCGGCGATGGCTGGGCTGGGCTGTCTTGCTTATTGACACTTACACCGTTGTCAGCAGATAGCTTGGTGGTCGACCCTTGCTGCATTGCTGATCACATTGAGCTAGTTTGATTCTACCGTGTCCCTGGTTGCATTCACAGCTCCTTGCACTCCCTTCCCGCTCTCACATGAGCAAGGAGATGGAAATAAAAAACTTTTCATCTACGCTCTGGCAATTGGCAACGGATGTGTACCACACAGGGGCAATCATTTTTTCGGAGCCCTGGCTGACCATTTTCCGCAAATAAGTTGGCGGCACGCTTGGCATTTTGTATCAAGATGTATCAAGCATTTTCAATATATCTATATAATGTACTGCGCACACGCACACTTGTATTCACACATCATTGAGTTGGTATATTTTCTGATCGTTTGATTGCATCATATGCTAGGTAAACGCCGCCCCGGAGGTGGAAGTTTTACAGTAAAAGGACTCAACTATTGGAAGTGACATTGTGGTTTCATGTTGATGCAATGTTTTCTGGCCGTGATGCAATGATGTTACGTGGGTGATGTGTTGTGTGGTATGCTAATTTCTGGTGTGGTGATATGTTGGCACGTGATGCATGGTGAACTTGCATCTGCTGAAGTGACGGGTTTCGCAACCCACAGTGTCATTCCCCCCAGAATTGCGCGCCCCGTTCGACTCACCGCCGCTTTTCCAGATCGTTCTGGTCTCTCTCCCCTATCCTTCTTGAGATTTGCTGTTATTACTGATGCATCCACTACCTTTGCACGTTTGTAGGGTACAACTTTCTCTGTGCTACTTTTCTTGATAGATTAAGCGTGTACTGCATCTAAATTTGATCAAATTGTTGCCACTTACACGGCCAATGTTCCCCACGAGGCACCGACTTTGACGTCCCTTTTCACACTAGACGCTAGTGGCAACACAGTGGACACGGTCAACACTGAAAATGTTTCGGCCTCAAGGATGTTACAGCAGTAACATTTTAAAATTTCTAGTTTCTGTGTGTGTTTTGGAGTGAAGACTTGCTCAGGTGCTCCTTTCAAATCCGGTGTTCTACGTGGACGGTTTAAATATCCCAAAGTGTGCTCAGCTTGTGAAAAATTTGTCCAATGAAAGGTTGAAAACAATACGTAGAGGTGCGTGACAAGACATGTGCGACGGCCATGTGCACCAGCACCATGTTTCAGTGACATTCTTTGCCATAGATCTGGCAGCCATTCCACTGCCTTGTGCATGCCAGCCTCGAGAACTTGAACATGGATTATGTGGATGAGCAAGACTACAAGCTTTGGCTTCAAGGGGGTGATGCTGAAATATCTCTATGTTGCTTTGAGGAAGTTGAACATGCAAATTCAGCAGGACTGAGCTTTGGATTTTGCTCCGCCACTAGTTTCCGTCGTTGCTGTGTTTCCGGTGGGGAAGAAGATAGGAGCAGGGTTCATGATTCGAGCTGAGGCTCCAGCATGAAGTATGACTCTGACACCGCAGCGCTGAAGCTCTCCCAAAACTGCAGATTCACGTTTACCATGTCAAGTCTGCCCAGAATCTGCTAGGGAGTTTACGATTCGGGTCATCATCGGAACCAGGAATTCAAACAAAGTGCTCATAGACTCATAGTGCTGTTGAGGTAATATTCTTTTGTAGGTGCCTGTCCCCTGCAGCATTTGGTATGACAGCACGCCAAGTGCTCAACATATGTGTAGCTTCATGGGCCATAATCAGCCCAATTACGTTTTCAGATCATTGCAGATAGTTGCAGCCTTCTGGAACGCAATAAAGCAAAGGAATAACGAAAAAAGACAAAGGCAGCTCTAAAGGTCTAAAGGCCTAAGTTCCTTTCAAGAGTATGACAAGGAAAGGAAAAGGAAAGAACAAACATGAATGAACGTCGATGTTTTTCTCCATCGCTTGGCCCAGGGAGTGCACCATCACCAGCTGCCTCGATGCTTGGGACGTGCCGAGCGAGCCGAGTGTCGTCCTGCAAGTTGGTGACCTCCGGAGCGAAGCGCTGGCGGGTCACCTGGCCGTAGGCGAAGCACGAGTAGGCATGAGTAGAAAGCACAATGAGAATACTGTGAAGCTTTTCTTAAGTTATTGTCGTGTCAGCTGGGTGCTTTGTGCGTGCAACACGTGCCAAGGGAAGCTCACCCTCCCACGGCCAGTCATAAGCACGATCTCTCCAGACCTTATCTTGGATGCAGGCTTTTCTTGCCCGACATGCTGCATCACAGTTGGAACCCAGTAAACTGTACTAATATTGCACCAGTACTACACGCTACTATATACTGACAGCACGTTCTGATTTTGCAGGATATGTTGAGATCGAGATTTTTGGGAACTCCTTCTCAGAAGACAGAGATGTTCTTGCACCCAATGGCAGCTTTGAGGATCCTGGATATATTCATGTATTTTTGAAAGCACATGTGCACCCATGCTGCCCATACTTGTTTGATAGTGTTTGATCCTGTACAGGAGGCGTGCATAGTATGGCAGGCAAAGGCAGAGGGCCTGCTGGCTGATGGAGTGGCAAGGCGGGGAACAAGATTTGGGAGATTGAAGGATTCAGGGCTCCGAGTTAAGGGAGAAAGAGCACTGAGAAGCGGCATTGCATATGGTAGTCGATCGAAAGGTCGAAATAAGGCCTATGCCACTGAGAGCCTCCTTAAGTTGTCCGCGAAAGTTTTTTCTCGAGTTCGCAAAAGTTATTCCCGAGAGCGCCTGCGAAGGGTTCTTCGTAAAAAAACATCTGCAGAACTACGTCTCATACATCTTCACATCTGCACATCTACATCTCTGCTCATCTTCATCATCTTCACACATCTACATCTCTGCTCATCTCAGCTCATCTTCATCTTCACACATCTACATCTCTGCTCATCTTCACATCTGCACATCTACATCTCTGCTCATCTTCACATCCTCACATCCACAGCCTACAGCTCACATCTTCACCTCTCGCTCTAATTAACTTTCTCTCTTAAGGCCTGGGGCAGTGCCGCCGGACCGCCACGAAACGCAACCCTCTGCGGAGATCGTGCGTGTCGAGGGGGCGAAATGCAGGCGAGAGTGCGATTTGTCCCGGTCGCGGGCAACCCTCTGCGGGGATCGTGCGTGTCGAGTGCGCGAAATGCAGGCGAGAGTGCGATTTGTCCCGGTCCGGGACAACCCTCTGCGGGGATCGTGCGTGTGGAGTGCGCAAAATGCAGGCGAGAGTGCGATTTGGCTTTGTCGCGGGCAACCCTCTGCGCAGATCGTGCGTGTCGAGTGCGCGAAATGCTGGCAGGCGAGAGTGCGATTTTGACCCGGTCTGGGGCAACCCTCTGCGGAGATCGTGCGTGTCGAGGGCGCGAAGTGCAGGGGAGAGTGCGATTTGTCCCGGTCCGGCGAAAATGTTTGCGGAGATCGTGCGTGTCGAGGGCGCGAAATGCAGCGAGAGTGCGATTTGTCCCGGTCCGGCGCAACCCTCTGCGGAGATCGTGCGTGAGCTGGAAGATGAGAACTGGCGACTTTCTAGTACGACTTTAGTACGCGGAGTATCTGGGGAGCTGGAAGATGAGAACTGGCG